ACAGGAAGTGCACACAATGTGCACTTCCTGTTAGTCCGGCCGGGTACTGGAGACAGATGCTCCCTGTACCCGCCGGCTATACTGGGCTCGGCCATGCTACAGAGAGGGAGCTGACAGGTGGGAGCGCTGAGCGCTTCCCTCCTGTCAGCCCCTTTCCTCAGGCTGCGCCCGGGCGGTGCGGTCCGCCCTCATGGACGCACCGCCCGGGAAAAGCTGCAGCCGCCCGAGGCTCTTTACAGAGCGCTCGGGCGGCTGCAGGATGAGCGGGGCCGGCGCTCCTGGCGGCGCCCCTTCCCAAGGGGCGCCCTAGGCGGCTGCCTAGTCCGCCTTACAGGTAGCGCCGGCCCTGTGGCCAGTGGTCTTCCACCTTGTCTGCGAGCAGTGGCCGCCGCTGTCCTGTTGGTAGCAGAAGCTGACAAGCTTACACTGGGACAGGAACTCCACGTGCGAGTACCTCATGCAGTACAGACCCTCTTGGATTATAAGATAAATCATTGGTTTAGCAACAGTCGAATGACCAAATATCAGGCTGTTGTGTGAAAATCCAAGAGTACACTTCGAAACTGTCAACAATTTTAATCCAGCTACCCTTTTGCCTCAGACTACTGAAAGTCAACATGATTGTTTGGAGATAATGGATGAAGTGTTTTCAAGCAGGCCTGATCTTCCTGATTTTCCCATCCAGAATCCAGACATACAGTATTATACTGATGGTAGTAGTTATGTGAAGGAAGGTGTACGTTATGCAGGATATGCGGTAACGACTATAGATAAGGTGATAGAAGCACGGCCACTGTCAAAAGGGACATCAGCACAGAAGGCGGAACTGATTGCATTAACCAGGGCTTTGCAATTAGCTGAAGGGCTGAGAGTGAATAGCTACACTGATTCGAAGTATGCTTTTCTAACCACCCATGCACATGGAGCATTGTATAAAGAAAGGGGATTGCTGAATTCAGAAGAAAAAGAGATCAAGTATGCGGCTGAAATACTCCAACTGTTAGAGGCGGTATGGGAACCGAAGCAAGTCGGTATTATACACT